GACGGAGTGGGGGTGGGGGTGGGGGTGGGGGGGAGTGGCCACGGGGGCCGTGATGGGGATTTGGGGAGGGGCCGCGGGGGAAGCGAGGAGGCGAGTGGCCACGGGGGTCGTGGTGTGGTGGGCGGTTGGGTGAGCGGGAGGGGGATCGACTCCTTCCTCCTCCTCCTCTTCGGCCTCTGCTTGAAGGGGGGGGCGGTGGAGGGGGCGGTGGCGGTCGACCTCGGTCGCCGAGGACGTTCTTGAGCTCGTCTTTGAAGCTTGTTATGGCTTCGAGCGCCCCGAGGACGGTTTGGAGTTTGGCTTCGAACTGGGGTGTGATCGAGGTGGTGGGAGGGTACTTTGCCGCCTTCTCGACGTCGGTCTTCGTCTCCGGCTGGCCATCGGCAGCTGGTGCTGTCTCGTCGTTCTTGACAGTGTCTGGCGAGCCGCTACCGCCCGAGACTTGATCGGCTCTGCTTGGCTGCTCTCTCTGTGGCTCCGGCCCAGCATCCTTCCGTTCCATGCCCAAGGCCTCGAGATTGCTGCCCCCGGTAGGGGTGTGGTATACGCTGCTGGATGGCGCCGTGGCCGAAATGGCCGACGGCGAGGTGGGAGGCGTGTTTTCCCCAGGGTCTGTCGACGCTGCTCCCTCGGATGATCCGGCCTCGGCTTGTTTTCCCTCGCCCGGCCGCTGTTGACTGCCGACTTGGTCTGACTGCAACGCTCCGGGAGGACCAGTTGGCCCCTTTTCGTCAACTTGGGCGCCCTTTCTCTCGGTCTTTCCTTCATCTCTGCCGCGAGTCTCCTCGACATCTGCCAGATATTCGTGGAACCCCCTCCTCTTCATCTCCTCGGCTACCCTCCGATTCACCTCCTCCTGTTCTTTTCTGCTATCTTCGGCTCTCTTCCTGAGCTCCTCTTCCACCCTCTGGCGCAACATATGCTCCAGTTCCGCCTTTTCCCTCCTTTCCTCCTCCCACCTTCTTCGCACCTCGACTTCGACCGTGGCTATCTGTTCCCTTCTGAACCGCGCATACTCCTCCTTTTCTCTCATATCATCTTTCATCCTCTGTCCTATCTCGAGTTCGATCGTCCTGAGCTCCTGCTCCTTTTTCATTGCCCCTACCCTGTCCTGGACTTCCTGATCCTCTCGCGCTTTCGACCCCGTTCCCGTCCCCTTGGCCTCGCCAGGCGTAGTCTCACTGTCGACCTGCGTCTTCTTTGGCTCGACCTCGCTCTTGGCTCCGGCATCACCCTTGACATCGGGCTCAACCCCCTTTTCTTCTTCACCCCCAGCCGCACTCTCTTTTGGTTTGTCATCTCCCGGCCCACCACCTCCCGGCTTGTCGTCCGCCGACTTACCTTGCACCTCAACAGTCTGGCCTTTATCCGCCTCCCACTTCCTCCTCGCCTTTTCCAGTTCCTCCCTCATCTCCTCCTCCATCTTCCTCGCCTCCTTCTCCTTTCGCTCCATCTTCTCCTTTCTCCTCTGCTTCTTCTTCTGCTTCACCTTTCTCATGTCGCTGATCTGCTTATCCTTTTGGTAGTAGATCCTCTCCTTCTCCTTCATCATCGACTTTTTCATGCGCTCTCTGTACTTGTCCTTCTTGCGCTTCTCGTACGCCTCCCGCGCCGCCTTCTCCTCTTCCGTCTCGACAATCTTGGCCTTGCTGTGGGCCAAGTCGTACGCGAGGGCGATGCGCAGCAGCTTCTCCCGCCGGTACTTTGCGTTTCGGCGCACCATGTCCTCGGCGGGAATCAGCTCGTCAAAGCGGTCGGCGTCAATCTTGACCAGCACCACGTACTCGCCGGCCTCGAGCTCGAGCTCGACGTTGACGGAGCGCTTCATGCGGTACGAACCCTGCGTTCGGACGAGGTAGTCGTCGTGCCCGGCCTTGTGCACGCGAAAGGCGAGGCTGAAGGTGTACTGGCCCTCGAGGCCGCGGAAGTACCGGTCGTCGAGCTGGGAGAGGACCAGGACTACCGGGCCGGGCTTGTCGAGCTGAAAGACAAACTTGGTGTCGTGGTACTCGATGGTCCAGGGCACCGAGAGGGTCGTCCACAGGGACGTGACCTTCCAGCTGTCGTCAAAGAGGCGGGTGCGGTCAAAGTTCTGGTACTTGCGGAGGAGGTCTTTGTACGAGATCCAGAAAGCGCCATCATCGCCGAACCGATGTCCGAGTTTCTGAAGCCACTCGGGAGTCCACTCCTTGGATCCATCACCTGAAGCCATTAGCACCTCGTCCAAGGGGGAAACGCCCACAAGGGGCTACTTACTCCACGCCCCCTTCCACTCGGTCTTGCCCCACGGATTCTTCAACAGCAACAACCTCTCGCCATCGACCTCGACGGCTTTCATGACCGAATAGGCATGCTGCTCGACGATCCCCTTCCTCTCCCCCCACCCCCTCCCCCACAACCCTGTCGAGCATCCAAACAGAAACTCCTTATTCACCTGCAGCATCTCCTCCTTCCAAAACGCCTCCCTATCCAAAATATCCCCAATAAATACCTCACTCGTCACCCCCCCCGTCAAGTCCTCGACCCCCTCCCCGGAGCACCCCCCCTCGAGCGTCGCATAATCCCCATGCGCCTTGGCATACGCCTTCTCCAACAGCGGCAACCACGTCTCATTCGGCTCCTCGCACTGCGCAAAGTACAGCGCCCCGCTATTGCTCTGATACGCCCTCCGGTACACCTCATCACTATCCACCCTCTCCCGCCCATCCTCCCACAGCATCCGCTCAATGTTGGGCCGGTCCGAAACCGCCTCATCATAGTCCGGCTTGGTCAGGAACAGCTTGTCGTCAATGATCTCGCTGAACCACCCGCCGTCGCGGTGGAACACGAACCCGTACACCCCCACCGCCTCGTCCCGCGCCACGCAGATGCGCTCGATCAGCCCCGGCTTGTCGCTCATGGTACACAGCGCCGCCATCAGCCAGCAGTCGCCGTCGCGCCCCTGCCGCACGTCGTTGGCCGTGGGGCCGTCGATGAAGAACTGCGGCGCGTCGAAGATCTGCGAGACGCGCGCCACCGACTTGGGCGTGAAGCGCGCGCCGGGGGTGGCGCCGTCCTGCCGGCGCCGAGGGTGGCGCTCGCCCTGGCGGTGGCGGCGGTGGAGGCGGGCGGGGGAGGGAGGGCGGGGGTAGGGCGGGCGGGGGAAGGGCGGCGGTGGGGGGAAGGGTTGCGGGGGGCGGGGCCGGGGGGCGGGGCCAGGGCTGTGGCTGTGGCCCGAGTCCGAGTCCGAGTCGGACGAGAGGTCGGAGTCGGCGATGTTGTCGAGCGACTGGAGGCAGTCGCGCCGGCCCGTCTTGAGGTCGAACTCGAGGTCGAAGTGCGGGTCGCGGTACTTTTGGTTGAGGCGGCGGCACTCTTGGATGATCTTGTCGACCTTGGCACGGCAGAGGGCGGCGGCCTCGTCGTACGAGGCGAGGGCGGGGGCGCTGGTGGTTTCTTTGGCGGTGGCGCGCTGGGCGAGAGTTTCGGCGTGGGAGGTCTTGGGGAGGAGGGCGGTGGCTAGGGGGGGGATGTTAGGTGAGGTTTTGGGATAGGGGCGAGAGGGGGGGTTACCTTTGCCGGGAGCCTTGGTGGTGAACTTTCTCCAAAAGTCGTCGACCTTTTTCTGAGGTTGTCGCGGTCGTCCTCGGTGGTCGGCTCCGTGAGGGAGGATGACGGGCATCTCGGCCATGACTCTCCTCCCCATCGGACCGTCGACCGAGCTGTCGGAATCCGAAGACATGGTGGTTTCTCTCCTTTCGCAGCACCTAGGGTGTTGATTCTTCAGAACCAATTCGTCGATTTCACAGCAACGCAAGTCGTCAGTCGCAATGCGCCCGTTAAAACTCACGTCAATTCCCGTCGCGACAAGCAGCAAAGGTCATAGAGAGAGCGAGAGAGAGTGAGCAAAGACTCGGACCCCAAACTGCAGGCGACAGCCTCGTCGCGCACCACAGCTACCTATATACCTACCCGTCCGCCTGAATCTCCGAACGCCATTCCTCGAGCCACACCACGGCTCGCGGGAGGGGTGTTAGGTGCCCACGATCTGCAACAGGGAGCCGGCGATCCTATGAGACGCCGCCATGAGCCTCCTTCTTATTCTCAGCCCCCAATCCTCCGACCGCCCCCCTCCCACCCCTCACGTGTGGGGAATTAGACCTCTGCATATCAGCATGTCCCTCCCGGGCCTCAGCCTTCGGGCTCCCTCAAGGAACCAGTCCCACTCGTTTCATCCACGGTGCGATACGACAGGCAAGGTGTGCAGGCAGATGTCTGCCTGCCTGTCTGCCTGCTATGCAAAGGCAACTAGCGAGTGCAGTGCGGCTGCACAACTGCCTATGGCGGGCCTTTAGGGGGACGGGATGCTTGCCTTTCTTGACTGGGTGCGGTGCAGGGCGTCGATGGGAATTCCCAGTGGTACTCCGTAGGTGGACGGGAGAGAAGGGGGGTGGTTGTGGCTGCAGTTCATTTGTTGCCTTGTTTCCTCTGCGCATTGCCTGAGATCTGGGATCCTCTTGGTTGCCGGGGATTAGATTTCGAGAGCGAATTTCTTAACCTCCTCTCCCAGCCCTTAACCACCCAACAACCATTGTTGTCCTGCGACCATCAACGGCGCAGCTCTGTCTTGATCCCCAATCCCACAAAGATGCAACATCAATTCAAGAAGCCCGGTTGGTCTAGTGGTATGATTCTCGCTTAGGGATTTGAACCCTGAGTCAATTTGCGAGAGGTCCCGCGTTCAATCCGCGGATCGGGCCATTCTTTCTTTTTGACACTGTCTCCTTTACACACCAGGTGTATGTGGGAAATGCGTAATAATTGCATGTTCTTTTTGCTGCTGGTAATAGACCCTCATCGAGACTCCTTTTTGCCTTAAGAGCAAAAAAGGAGTCAACGAACAATCCGGGCGAGTTGTCAACTCGCGACTCATCTCTTTCTACCAGAAGTACATCAAGATAGAGCAAGCAAAAAGATGCCGCCCCCCCCGTAAGGACAGGAGAGAGCAACAACTATATGTCTGCAACTTACCCGGATCGAACGGGTGACCTTCAGATTACATTCCCTGCAGAGGATGTAGGAGTGAAGTGGACTTCAGTCTGACGCTCTCCCAACTGAGCTAAAGTTGCTGTTGTTTATTGATGGGGATGTGGAGTGATATTGTGTTTCCTGAGTCAGGTTGACGGGTCGGGCGGGTCAAAATATAGTGATGAAGAGGGGCAGCGAGGTGGAGGAGTTGTGGGGACGACGTGTTTGTTGCTCCCATATATGCATAAAGATAGACGATGGGAATGGGGGGGGGAGAGATGGAACTCACGACTTAGTGAGAATCATGCCAGGTGTTCTGGACGAGGAGGTTCATCCATCTAGGTCACTTCAGACAAAAGCATGATGGGTAGGTGTGCAAAGGAGGGCGTTGTTTTATATCGTCCCATCGCATCACCGTGAATGTGCCCATGTACATCAAATTGTTCTTGTCTCTGTTCATCATCCTCCTCCAACTCCCTATACTCAAAATATGCTCTAGACCCCATGCTCGCCCCCATCCATCCGACCTCGTCCAACCGCCCCCGTCATATCTTCCCAACCAGCATGGTATCGTACACAAGCCGCCTCCTTCATCCTCCCTGACCCCGTATTTGACCTCCTGCGGCGGCGGTATATCATTATTCACCCGTATAATCAGGTACCTTCAAAACCATGTACAAGAAGACGACCCAAAACCACAGCAAAGATGGAAACGTTCAAAACAGCCAGAACATAAATCCAGCCCCAAAAATAAGGCATGTCATCTCATCCCAGAACAAACCGCAAGGGCGCCTTCCCAGGCCGCACGTCGCTGATCATCGAGTGTTGGCGCTCAAGCTCGCAAATGCATCCGGGCTGTGTCGTCCATTGGTCCACTCGAGCCCGCCGGCCATCATGCTCTCCCGGCTCGTGTTGTACGGCTTCGAGACTGCCGGCGCAAAGGCCGCATCGATCAGGTTCTGCTGCTGTGCTGGCATGGCCGTGCGGCCCGCGTTCATAAAGGGATTGTTGCTCCCTGCCGATAAAGGGGTAGGCATCTGAGCTTGTTGCTGCTGCTGCTCGGGCTGTCCGTGCTCCCCCGCCTGCCCCGACTGGAACTGTGTGGGAGCGAGCTGGGGGTAGTTGTACAGCGCCATGATGGATGCCTTGTCGGGCCGTGGTGGCTGGTATGCGACTTGTTGTTGCTGTTGCGGGTAGTACCCCGTCATCTGTGGTTGGAACGGTGATGGCTGCTGTTGCATCATTTGGGTCGGTTGCTGCTGCATCATCTGGGCTGTTTGCTGCTGCATCATCTGGCCCGGCTGCTGCTGGTACTGCTGTGGCATGGTCGGGGTTTGGGTGAAGAAGGGGTTGGTTGTCTGGGCAACTTGTACTTGCGGTTGCTGTGCGGCCGCGTAAAAGTTCTGCTGCGACTGCTCGGGTATTTGCGTTAGTGGTGGGGACTGGATTCTCGTCGGGGATCGTGTGAATGGGTTGCTGGCAAACCCCCCGGGGAAAGGTGCCGTGTTGACCGTCAACGGCTGCTGGTGCTGCTGAGGCGGCTGGTTCATGAACGGGTTGTAGGCCTCTACTGGTTGCGCGGGGGGTAGGTCTGGCTGCTCTGGTAGGCATTCAAGTAGTTGTGCTGCGATGTCGGGGCCTGGGGCGTCAGAGGCTGTTGATACGTGACTTGAGGAGCCACCTGCTGGGCAGCCAGCCCTCCCGTATGATTGGGGAACAATGGCTGCGAGGGCGGTGCCAAAGAGAGACCCTGATATGCCTGTGCGATGTCTGCCACCTGCTGGGAGGGTGCGCCGAATGGATTGTTGTTCGGGGCCAGGTATGGATTCCGATTCTGCAGGGTGCCCGTCGACTGCGAGGAGAGGGGTTGCGGCGTGGGGGGGTTGTCGAGCATGTGAAAGGGGTTGTTGGTCGCCGGGCTGAGGGGTCGCGCGCGAGCCGAGTCTCGCATCGATGTCGTCGAGGCAGCGTGCGTCAAGCTGCGATTCACAGGCATCGACGACTGTCTGACTGGCACGATGCCGGGCGATATTCCTCCTCCTCCCTCGCCTAGCCGGATCAGCGCCTCGATTGTCTTCTCCATGTTGCCACTGACCCCCTTCAGCACCAGCTGATTCCGCTGCTCGTCCATGAAGCCCATGTCCCGAAGCTTGGCCAGCTTCCTCTCGGTGGCCTGCGGATCCCCAGCGTCATCATTGCCTCCCACACTGGCTCCAAACACCTGCGAAGCCTTGTTCCATCGCTGCGAGGGGTCGGGGGGAAGTTCTCGGGGGCTCGGTGGTGGCTGCTGGGCGGCCTTGGCCTTGGAGCCGAGGGGAAAGATGGACGAGGCGGATCGGAAGCCGAAGCGGCTCGGGGTCTTGGGGGGGAGGGGCGGTGGTGTCTCGTCGGACTCGGTGCTACCGGTGTTGTGTCGCTTGCCGGTGTTGAAGGTGCGGTTCATGTACTTTTGTCGGATGTATCGCTCCATTGCACCGTCGATCTCGTCAGCGTCGACCGGGAGCTGCACCTTTTTGTTTTGGGGGTTATAGGTTTTGTTGGACGAGGCGTTGCCGACCTTTCGCATGTTCTGGGAGGGGGGCGATGAGGTCAGTCTCTCGCCGGGTCATGCACAAGGGATTGCGTACTTCGACCTGCTCGTTGGACCAGCTGTCCATGCTCAACGACTTGACCTTTGAGATGTGGGTGCCCAACTTGCGGTGGATGGCGGCGCATCGCATGCAGAGAAAGATGCCCAACTGTGGGATAGTCCAGTCAGCTCTCGCTCTCGGTTCTGTGCCATGTAGGTTTCGGGGGAGGGACATACGCTCCATGATGCCCAAGCTGGTCACCCCGGCCGTGCGTTAGCCAACACGTCCTCCTCGACAGAGGGAGGGAGGGGTCAATTACAAGGATTCCGGGTCTGGCAGTCGGCACAAAAGTTGTTGCCGGGCACCGTCTGGACGAGCTCCTGCAAGACTTTTTCGTTGCGCGCCTGCTGGCGCTTGCTCAAGACTCCCGTCATGTCGCGTGAGGTGAGAGGGCGAGCGGTCGGGACATCCAAGGGACCGAGGGACCAAGGGACCAAGGTGGCAGGGCAATTGCGAGGGCGGCGCGAGTATTCTTGGTCTGGCTGGCGTGGTATGGACTGGGATGGCGGTGGTTTTTCGGTTTCTGTGGATGGTTCAAAAGGGTGATTGGGGATTGGGAATTGGGGATGGATGAGCCCGACCAGAGTTCAGAGCGGACAGCGGCACCAAGCGTGTCGAACAGGGGGAGGGCCCTGGGCCCTGGGGGGCGAGGGTGTGCACTGGGCGCCGGGCATCCAATGGGGAGGCCGGGCCAGAGAGTCTTCAATGCGATGGCGGTCGACGAACCAGGAAATCCGACAATCAAGAAAACAAGCACCCGGAAATCCCCCGCTTTCCGGCAACAGTCCGCAACCACAACCACGACAGAAACACGCCTCGGCCATACCATGTGTTATTTTCGTGCTGGCGCATTAGGGATGGTATCGTCGCGCTTCAGCCCCTTTGAAGAAGAGGGAGCGAGACCCTCCCCTCCAGCTCCTCCTCCTCCTCCTCTCCTCTTCCTGTCCTCCTCCTCCTCCTCCTCCTCCTCCTCCCGCATCGCGACAGGACCCATTCATCATCGCCCTTCTCCACCACCCCAATGCTAGCGTCTTCAACCTCAGAGAGGGGTGGGTTTCACCTAGGGCAGTGGACGAAGAGTCCCAGGCCCGGCGAGATGGCCGTCCCGCTCACTCATCGTGTAACCGCAAAATGACGGTCGTGACATTTCTTCCCGTCCGGACAGCCACCCCAAGCCGATAATGAATCGCGGATGCGCGCTGCAAAGGCACGAGCGGACGGATGAGCAAAAACAACTGACGTTATTTTGGGGCAGGGACCGAGCACGCACCCTCCTTTTTCCTTGTCGAGCTTGGTTTCAGGGGGGCAGACTAGGACAGGACAAGATGAATGGTCTGGACTCTTTTCTCCTTTCTTTCTGCACAATGTTTTTAACCCTTGATCCAACCCGGAAACAATTGCCACCAGGGGCTTGTGGTGGCTTGCCGGTCTTGCTCCGAGCTCATCCCGGCAGCGTCGGCCGGCCGCAGGAACAAGTATTTATTCGGAGACGTCGGCAGCGCAGGACTCATCATCACAACCGAAATGCTCCCACCCTTCCGGCGCTGACTGGTCAAAGTCACATTCATGGTCCTGTTCAGAAGACCTGAAAGAATGGAGAGCATCACTCCTCTAAGGTTGGCCAGCACGGACTTTGTGTGATATTTCTTGGTCTCTACTGTTGACCAGTTCATGCTTGTGGTGCAGGCAATCCCCCACCGTGCTCGAGTCGAAGAGCCCGCTGCCGCGTGTTGGAAATAGCTTCAACTATACGGTACTTTACCTCTCAAGTCTCAACAAAACACCAGGTCAGCCTGGCAACCTCGCCCACTGCAGAGCGGGGCTGTTCATACCTATCTTCAACTCGTAAAATATATATATACTTTAAAGACATTGTTTCCTCCCCAAGTCTAACCCAAGCTGCCATTATACTCATTCCCTGATTGCCCCCGAGCTCTTGCAACCACAGGATATATCCATCTTTTACCCCAAACCCAGCAACAACACCTAATGAAGAAGTAGAAATACCAACAAAAACAATGCTTCGCTCTTCTATCAAACGCCCCCAACACCTCAAACACGCAACCCCACATTCCCATCCATGCTGACACCACCCCACGCGATAACTCCGAAATCCCCGGCTAAGCGGCCGACCCGCCCGGCTTGCTTATCAAGCCGGAGAGATAGTCGGCCGGGACACTACCGCAAAGTTTCCAGCGCGAAGGCAACACTGCCATCATGCGGACACCCACCAACAGCATCAGCAGTGCTAATGCCAACCGCTGGGAGTATCGACAAGTCCGAGACTCCACAACCGGTGGTCGGGAGAGACCAACCGCTGTCAGATTCCGTCTCCCCCAGGAAGCCGTAGAGCGAGGGAGATATCCCTTGTCGGAGGTAGGCAGCCTTCCCACGACTTGTAGCCGCTGATAAGACCGACGATCCCGCTGCTCTCCCCCTCCCTCATCAACTTCACGACCATAACCACCACA